CCCCAAAACCCCAAAACCCCAAAACCCCTAAATATTGGGTTATTATTGAAAATAGGGCTTTTACTGCTTCTCCTCCTCACTCTCAACATCCTGCATCCAATTTTGCATTTTTGTTGTTTTCTTCATTTCATCTGCTTCATCAGCTGTAAGCTCATAAGGAACGGTAAATCCGCCTCCTATACGTTTCATTTTCTTCTTCCGCTCCATTTTTTGTTGTAATTTCTGTAAATTTAGCTTTCTGGTAGCTTCCTTTTCACGTTCGAGCTCTCTGATCCTCTTCATGCGCTCTGCTATCCTTCTTCTGCGTTCTAGATCTTTGGCTTGTTCTTCCTTCTCTTGTTGTTTTATTTTCTGCTGGATTTCCTTCTGTTTGCGCTCAAGTTCAAGTTTAAGCCGAGCTTTCTCTTCTTTTTCAAGCTGGAGCTGGCGTTCCTGCTCTATATTGTTCTATAAGCGGTGAGTTACCTTGAGCTCTTCGGGCTTGTTCGAGGGCTTCACGTTGTTCATGCTCGGCTTGCAGCCGAGCTTCGACATCGCCCAAGGTGCAGTAGAAGGGAGACCCGAAGATGCCCATTGTGGATGTGGAGATTTGGATTTTATACGTCCCTGGCTTTGTGATCGTGAATGGAAATTTCGAGATCGAGCTGTCTAGAAGAGAGATTTAGGAGGAAGGGGTAAGGTCAAGGTTTGACTGTGATTTGATGGATGGGTTTTGGGAATTGGAGCATTTATGTGTTACCTTTATGTGGGAGGTCGATGGTTCATTCTGTCTTGAGCTCTTCTGTTTGTTTTGTTCTAGAGTTTAAGAGAAATATTCTGCATTCAATGTCTTTTTCCCAGTCGAGATAGTGACAGTAGTTCCCATATTGGTCTCTTGCTTGGATAATTATTTCTCTTTCTATTGTGGCTTTAGGCATTAGGTCTTCATCAGAGAATCATTCTTGATGATTTAGCACTTTTGTCCAGGCAAAGTCAGCTTCGCTATGAATAACATGAATGTCAAATGCTTTGTCTTGAGGTCGAATAGGCTCATCTCCAAGTTGTACAGTCACTTGGTAACTTCCTGATTGCTTTATACAGAATGTGACTTTCCTCTTGTACTCATTTTCCTCGTGAATTTGGAGATCTTTTATTTCCATTTGGTTATCTTTCTCAGTAATTTGAATGTTAAGTACTTCATTGACAAGAGAAGTTGGATTCCCAAACTCATCTTTGAACAAGACCATGAAATGCTGAGTGTGGCCAGCTCGGATCGCTTTATCCTGAACTCTCTCACCTTCTGCTAAAGGGAATCTGGTATATGTTTCATCTTCGATACATCATTTTTGAGGGAAAGCATAACTTTCAGTGATGTCTAGGTTAATGAAGTCTGTTTGGATGTTTTCAATCTTTTTCTCTTTTATTCTTGCAATAATCTTCATATCTATTTCCAGAGGAAGCAGGTAGTCGTCCAGATATACTTGAACCTTATGGAAATCTGCTAGAAAGCAAGTCATTTTGAGCGTGTTGTCGCCGAATTCGGAGAAGTCAATGTCCCATTTGATCTCTTTATCTGTTGTGGTATTCCCATTCTGTTTTATTTTTAGTCGAGAATATGAGAAATCTTCAATTTCATCTATTTCAGCACCGGATCTATCTCTAAAAATGATTGTGAAGAAGACAGTCTCTCCTGCAGTCATTTTGTATACCGGCTCATCTTCGAATTTGAAGTTGTTTCATGGAGTGAAAGTTAGTGAACATTTGCTTGCTTCAAGCTCTCCGGGTTTTACATCTAGAATGAAGGGAGACATCTGTACTGGCTCTCCATTTACGAGGACATGGAGTAAATATTTTCCACTGTCTCTTATCTTGAGTGTAACTTCATATCTCCCAGTGTTAGGATCAAAGATGTCGATTGTTTTGGGATCAATTATTTTGCCTGAGACTTGATTGATGCCAAAGACATTGACTCTGTCTCCGCCTTTACTTCTCATAAAGCCAGTTTTGTCAACAGTGATTATCTCAAAATAAGTCTTTTTGCCTGCCTTGATGGAAGAATTGAGTGCCTTTCCAGTTGCGAAACTCTTTTTGATATCAGTGGCTGCTAGCAGAATTCCGAAGAACTCTCTTCCACTTGAGATTTGGAGCACTTCTTTGTTTTTATATGTAGTAAGGACTTTTGGACGGGTTTCGCTGAAACTTTCATCTGTAGAGGCTGAGCCCCACTTATAGACACTCCCTCTGTTATTGATAGCCATTGCCTCTCCTTTCCCACAGACTATGTACTCGATTTGTTGGTCTTCTATTGAAGTTATAAGGGAGGGGATCTCGATCATTTGTTCTTGCTCAGGATCAAATCCACACTGCCCGACGTTGTTTAATCCTCAGGAGTATACTTTCCCGCTCTCAGAGACGAAGAACGAAAACTCTTCACCTCATGAAGCATAAGTTAGATGTACATCACTGGCTAGTGAATCCACTAATTGGGGTTTAAATTGATCTGATTGAGACCCAAGGCCGAGTTGTCCTCATGAATTCAGTCCTGTTGTGTATGCCTTTCCTGTTTCTTTAGTTATCATAATTGTATGTCATCCTCCACAAGATATATACTGAAATTTTTCATCTTCTTTCAAATATAGTCTGTAAGGTTTTCTAAGTGATTTATCTGCCTCGCCATATCCAAGCTGGCCGTTTTGATTCCATCCGCATCAGTAAAGGTTACCTTCATTTGTTAAGAAGAAGGAGTGGGCCATTCCTCATGCTATCCCTTTGATTTCATCTGAGATTAGAGTTTGGAGTTGTGTTGGTTCTGAAATTATTTTATCTTCAGTATCTAAGCCTCATTGGCCCATTGTGTTCATTCCCCAAGAATATACTATACTCATGTTTGTTGTGACTAGGGTATGAGCAGCTCCTCAAGCTACGGCTTTGACCTTTCTCTGGGTTAGATGTCTTAAGAAAGTAGGAATTGGGAGTCAACTAGCTCCTCGGCCATCCATACCTCATTGTTTGTACGAATTTGCACCCCATACATAGAGTTCAGAACTTTCTGTGATACAAGCTCAGTTGGAAAGGCCTCATGCAAGTTCAGATACATCAACTCCTTGAAGATCTTCTACTGGGGTTAATCTGTGAAGCTTTTTCTTAGCTTTTTCACCTATTCCTCAGCATCCTTCTTCATTATTTCCAATCATTAAGACTGAAGGGCGGCCTTTGAAGACATGTTTCTCCTCAATTTGAGCTTGAGAAAGCTTTAAAGCATTAATTATTTCAGGAGAGTTAGAGTCATCCAGCTCACAAGCTCTCTTAAACGACCTATATGCCTCATAATACATTTCCATTTGTTGGTATACTAGGCCAAGTCTGTAATGGCCTTTAACAAAATCCGGCTTTTGGCGTAGAACTTCTATGATATCTTCGTAAGCGTATCCATAAAGTCCACACTTGATGTAACACAGAGCTCTGTTAGCCTGGACGAGGTAATTAGCCTGGTCGTATTGGAGAATTTTCGAGTAGTAGCAGACAGCAGCTTCGTAGTCTCCATTTTTGAATTTTTCATTGCCCATTTGTTTAAACTTGTTGCTTGAGAATCCTTGACCCATTTTGTTCAATATTTATAAACTGAAAAGGGGTTTTGGGGTTTTGGGGTTTTGGGGATTGGGG